GTTTGTCGATTTCGTCTCGTTTTTTCTTGCTTTCGCCGCCCTTTGTCTACCGTGCAGCCCTGCTTCGTCGCCTCGCCGCCTCGCACGACAAATCATGGAGGACCCCAACGGCAACGACTCGGAAATGGCCGATACCGAAAAGCGGGCAGGGGCTCGGTTTATTTATACTGCGGAGGAGAAGGCGCTCCTCCAAGCGCTCGTAACGAAACATGCGCGAGTTCTTGAAAACAAGAAGACAAATAACTACTCGAAGGAGGCTAAACTTAAAGCTTGGGAGAAACTCAGCACCGAGTATAACAGCCAGCCAAACGTCCGCGCACGAAGCGCTAAGCAACTTAAGAAGCGTTGGGAGAAAGAAAAATCCAGATACAAAAAAACCAAGTCCGACGAGACGAGAGACATCCACGCCACGGGTAAGTCGACAATTTGCATATTTGGTAAACCATTCCTGATGTGTAAAAAGTAAACATCGGAGAGAAGTCCTTTCGACCAGAACAATGCTATGTGCACGACGTCGTGCTCCTTTCCGGGTCTCGTATAAAACGAATTTTCAAAACGAGTTGTTCAAAGCTGTAGCGTAGCAAAGTTCGCTTCATACGCATGCAGCCGATCCAGGTTCGATCCAAAGTGGGCCTACTTCTTTGCTTTTTTCTTGACATATTTTTTGTAGAACATTTGGCGTTATTGACATTTTTTTTTTTTACAATCGTCACTGAGAACAAATGAGGTCCCCGCATCTTGCCGTAAGCCTATTCTAACAAAGTGCCCAGCATTCAATTGCCCATAAGAAGGTTCGAGGTGGGCCTCCACTGGGTTGTGCTAGATTTTCTCTTCGTTAGGTTCGCTCTAGTCCCCTTAACAATTGTTTTTATCTCGCACGGAGGCGTTTCGAAAATTCAGTGTGCTCTTTGAATTGTTCGTCCCATACATTGTTCACTCTCTCCAATCTGAGCTTCAAATTCTTTGGTTTCTGTCACAGGAGGTGGGCCACGAACAAGCCGGCCGATGAGCCCCTCACTCATTCTTGTGGGAGCGGCGGCAGACCACATGGAGGCAGTGGTGACAAATCTCTGCGACAGCGACAGGGCAAGAGACCGGCCAGTGCTGTCGCCGCCTCCGGCTGCAATGTTTGAAGCAATGGTGCGAGGCACTGAAGGCAATGACAATCACGCCTGCTGGAACGACGTGCCAGGTAACTGGGGGCTTTTGGATTGGGACAAATTTGCACCAACATGTCGAGGATGGGTACCGTGAGCCGTAACATGTCTACTTGTATTTGCGACTTGTATCATTTTAACAGCAAATCTGGAACAGAAAAAAAGGCACCGAAGCCTTTTTCTTTTATTGCTCGGCAACGTCTACACTATTGTACATATCTTTGAAGTTCCAAAATTGAAAATGCGAGCAGTGGGTCGTGACATAGTACTGATAGTACTGTGAATTGAAACCAAAACTAGTGTTTGCAAAGCGTACAGCGCCACGACGGCAGAGAATTTTGGGAAGACTCGGTACAGATCACGTGCCTTCTCGTTGCGCTTCCGCGACAGCGAGCGAGTCGTGGCAGCTGCCGCCAGCAGCAGTCGCAGCCATCCGCCATCCCGCCAAACCGTCGTTGGCGGCGTACCGTATCTGTGGCAGTGGGCGCGTTAAGTCGGCGCTCTTTTACTCCTCCTACTCCGACTAAACGGCGTATAGCGTACAGGAGCGCGACACACCGAGGCTGCATTCCAAACCTACTCGAATGGATACGAGTTACCCTGGCGGATTATGTCACGCTACATCAAAAATAGAGAAACGCTGGACGCGGGTAGGTTTTCGACAACCACCTTTACCCTAGAGTTAGATCGAGTAAGTTTTGGAACACGGGCTTTCCCGCAACACATCGTAGGATAGCGGTGGCGCAGCAGGCGTTTGCGACTTTTATTCAAGCGCATGCCCGCATAAAGCTTTATGCCTGTGGTGCCGGGAACGCCATCCAGATTCGGCGACATTCGGGCTCAGTCCAGTCAGCTCAATCCTATCGCCAGCATCGCTCTTTTCAAGCCCTGTGCAGTTTCGTGGCTCCGGGTTCGTTCCTCCGACGTTGCGTCAACCGCATGTGGCGATGGCAACAATCGTAAAGAAACGTACGTCGCTGACGTTCGCGACAAAGCTTGAAATCATCCGCCGCGTTGAAAAAGGAGAAAAGAAGTCCAGCATTGCCGAAGCGTACAACATACTGCGAAGCACTTTGAGCACGCTGCTGAAGACGAAAAGTGACATCGAACCGAAGGCTGAACAAAGCAAGCACTCCAGCGCACGCCGTGTTCGGACACCGGCCTTCGAAAAGGTGGAAAGATCACTTCACAAGTGGTTTATGGACGCAAGGGCTCGGAACATTCCGGCGTCAGGCCGATGCTTCAACAGAAAGCAAAGGACTTCGCGTTCATCCACCAAGCACAAAACGTCGCCGCAAGTAGAGGGTGGCTGCAACGCTTCAAAGCCTGTTACAACATTGTCGGGAAGACGGTCTCACTTTTACGCCGCTACTGCAGTGCAATCGACGGTAGTGATCTGGCGCTGGTGGACTGCTTGGAGACAGTGGAGCCGGCCGTAATAAGGCATGCGGTCAGCTCCATGCAGCAATCTACACTGCGGCAGTTTTTTTCGTCGGAATAAATAGTTCACCTTAACGCTTCACGTGAATACTGTACCTCGTTTCAACTTCCGTCCGAGCGCAGCCAAAGCTACGTGTGGCCGGAGCCAATCACACGTTGGCAATTGGTCACGCGATCTCGCCTGCACTTGGTATCGCTCCGCTGCGCCGCTGGTCGTCCGCGCCGCCCGCGCTCGCCGAGTATTTCGTCTGCTACGGGTGTATCAACGAAATCGTCTGCTACAGGTTTAAAAAGTGACCTTTCACGTTCTGAAATTTAGTCGCAGGGGATGTCAGTACGTAGGCTGGCCGCTGGCGTCTGTGTCCGAGCTTTCCACCTGTTCGGCATTTCGGCATAGTTTCGAGATGTAAGTAGACATTGCAAGATGCCCGACGACCCGGCCGTTGATGTTTCCTTGTATTGTCTGGATATACCAGGGCTCGAGCCACAGTCCTTTCTACCAGCTTCTTGGCTTTACAAAGTGATCGGCAGGTAAAGGGGTGCCCTGATTTCGCTGTGTATCAGGTAATTGTAGTCGCCCAGACGCTTTTCTTGTTTACAAAGCATTTGCGGTACGACGCGGCCGGAGTCTCCTGCAGAATTTAAAAGTAGACATTCATCACGACCTCTCGCGCCTGACGCCCAGACATGCCTTTGCGAAAGGACGTTTTGAAGAGACTCTGTGAGGAAAGCAACAAACAAGCAGCAAAGCACATGATTCGGCAATTACAGGAACAAAATCACAACTGAGTTGCAACAACAGTTGCCAGCGGACGTATGTTTTTTCACCAAACCACATGTATCTACATATATTAACAAGAACTTAAACTTCAGATATTTAATTCCTTCAGTTGCAAATCATTCTCAGCAGTACACATCTGGAATATTGTGCAGCGTTTACGCACAAAACAGTTGTTTAAAAGGAATTACTTTTGCGGACTACTTTGCAATGCGTAAAAATGCTCTTCTCGAAGTTGCGAAGCGTCCGTCAGCCTTTGGCTGCGCTCGAACGGAAGCTGAAACGAAGTATAGTCATTTTTTGCTGTTAGCCTGTCGTTTGCCTCGTGATTGTGCGCGCTGTGCTGTGACGCTCTTTTTGTGTGTGACTTTGTATATCGAATTTTGATTATATCGAACTATTTCACGGTCCTTGCGCTGTTCGATATAACGAGGTTTGACTAATTTGCCAACACCTAGCTTTGAACATTTCTACGAAAGGCCCATGTGGCTGTTGGGCCTCTTCCCCTGTGTACTTGCTCTTCCCCTAGCACTCACAGTGCCAATGTGTTTTGCACGCCCAGATGCTCCTGAGCCGTCCGCCTCACCTCTCCAAGACAGCAGCGTTGGAGCTGCTTGTGTGACTCCGCCGGCAAGGAGCATTACCTGCCCCCGTGCTGAGCTGCCAAGCGGGGCATCCAGAAGAGCTGGAAACCGCATCGCAGCACTGGAGCGGATCATGGCTCCCGAAAAGGAGGCCTGTGTAGACATCCTCGAGAGGGAAGATCGGCGGAAGGAGGCGCAACATTTAATGCAAATGCGCATACTCCGCAACAAGCTTTTTGAGCAGCGACGACGCGGACGGGCAGAGTTCCAGCTGCTCCAGCTGGAGAGAGAGATAAAGGTGGAGCAGCTGGCAGCCCTGCACTGCAAGCTACAAGGGTGTGGAAATCACAATTAAAATTGGGTTCTTTCAGTTTAAAAGCATTCCGAGGATTTACTTATTTAGTTTATGTGCGCTACATTGTAGTGAAACGATAGAACCTAATGTGTTATGCATATTCGGAAGTTGAATGAAACAGCACACTACAATTGAAGGAAAGGGTAGGTCTTTCGTTAGCTCTGTGCTGGCCACAAGTCTTTCCCAGAATATGTTAGATTGACCAAATACGCGGAATTGGATTTGAAAATCAATTTATTCGAGCGCTTACTACTGAATTCGTGTCCGAGTATTTGCACAAGTCAGTGACGGGTCAAGAACAGAGTACAAGCTGGAGATGAGAAGTAGGACGGAAGCTTTAATTGGAGAGGAGGTTTCCCCTCTCCACCTCAAGCTTCTGTCTGCTTCCTCCTCTCCAGCTTGTACACTATCCTTGACCTGTCATTGACTATAAGCATGTGCTACTGGTTGAATATCCCTATTGGAAACACAGTGCGATGATCTGTGTGCGTTTCAGCGAGCCGTTGATTGTGTCGACAGGGTCTGGAGGTGATGGCAGTACATGTGGACGCAGCCGCCTCCGGCGTCGGGGTACTGGTGGAGAGGGTAGAGCAGGTGGGCATGGCTCTTTTCGCAGCAGGGCCAGGTTGTGCAGTGCAGCACAGGCGGTGATGATGAGGGCTGACCGTTCCGCCTTGTACTGTAGCCGCATGTCCAGGCATGGGAAGCGTCGCTTGAACACTCCAAATGCCCGTTCGACCGAGTTCCTTGTTTTTAGGTGAGCTGCTTGGTACCTATATGGTGCAGCATTGGTAATGGAAGCAACGTTGCAAGATAAAGGTCTTCAGGTGTAAAAATCGCCACTGCTGCAACCATCAGTATGGTTCAGTAACCTGTACAGTGCGGCCCATCCATGCTAGCTGCATTTTCGGCATTTTCTATTGCTTACCAGAGGCTACTGTTCTGCATACAGTGGTTTTGGCTGGTGTTTTCTACATTACCGTCTTAATTCAAGTTCTTGGCCCTAGTTCAATTCTAGTGACAAAAAGCAACAATTGACACCGACTAACTGTGACGAGGAAGAACAACAAATGTTCTCGAGGAAAATAAAAATAGAACTAAAATGTTGTATGCTACATACTTTTGAAACAAAAATTTGTCCACAGGAAGTGAATAATGCCAGCTTTTTTTGCCATACAAAGGCCCAAAGGTCATGAATCTAGCGGTGACAAAGATTTGCAGAACTAATAGTAACCAATAGGAACACTGTGGCTACAGCATCACTTCTTGTTAGCTGTTCTGAATTTCATGCCATTATTTCTTCCAACAAATTAGTACATACCTGCCCTTTGGGCTGTTGGCTACACCTGGGCTGGTCAGGGGCGTCAGAAGAAATTACATGCAGGCATAGCCTGCATCTCCGAGCAGCAGGCCAGGGATGCGCCGATTCTCGTACAGGACCCTTGCACGACTGTTATCGAATATCCTGCTGTCATGCACGGAGCCTGGCCATCTAGCAACAAGGTCAAAAAACTGCAGCTGGGGTCCTGTGATGGCCTGTGGATAGGAAGGAGCAGTACAGGGATGAGCAGGTTGCCATGATATGAACACAAGTGCTCAAGCTGATATTTCTACTATGATTAGTATATTTTCGACAAAGTGCATCTGCAAGCTTTGGAAATTAACTAGCATTTGAGTTCTCGCAGTTTTATGTGACGTAAGCTTCAATGTGGCTTAATTCCTAGGTTTTTCACGCGGTATAATAGAAGAGAATTTGAGCACGGGATAAAATCTCCCTAATATTTTGTTCGAAAAGTATAATTCAAGGGGAAAATGCTATAAAACATGAGCGTTTGCTATAAAATAACAAAAGCCACCTCGGCACCCAATTAAATGTATGTTTCCAAACACACAATACATAATTCTTGGTTTTGAACTAGTGATGCAAAACTATCGATAAATTGACTATCGATACTATCGATAGTTTTTCCAAAACTATCGATAGTGTCTCAGAACTATCGATAGCCGACTATCGATAGTACTATCGATAGTTTTTCGATAGTCGACTATCGATAGTACTATCGATAGTTTTTCGATAGTCGACTATCGATAGTACTGTCGATAGTTTTTCGGTAGTCGACTATCGATAGTACTATCGATAGTTTTTCGATAGTCGCCCTACCGCTCGCCTCCCCCTTCTCCTCTCCTCGCCCAAACTCCCGTCTTCGTCATCACTGAAAGCTGAACGAAAGTTGGGATGGTAAGTGGCTGGCCTAATTGGTGTCCCATTTGAAAAAAAAAAAGATAAATAAATAAAGCGATAAAAAGAGAAGAGGGAGCGACGCAAACTACTAGTGTCGCAAAACTATCGATAGTAAATCGTCGACAGTACCATCAATAGGTTTACGATAGTCGACTATCGATAGTTTTTTGATATTTGATTAACGATAGTTTTTCGATAGTCGACTATCGATAGTACTATCGATAGTTTTCCGATAGTCGACTATCGATAGTTTTTTGATAGTCGACTATCGAGTACTATCGATAGTTTTTCGATAGTCGACTATCGATAGTACTATCGATAGTTTTTTTCACTATCGATAGTCAGATTTCTGGCGACTATCGATACTATCGATAGTACTATCGATAGTTTTGCACCACTATTTTGAACCCTCTCTAGCTGGCCCACCATTACTCTGCACTGTCACAGAGTGCAGATCTCTCTACAAGTTCTAGTCTATATCAGTCACAATATCACCGAGCTTTCACGTGCCACACCGGGTCTTGGCGTGCCGTTGTTTTCAACTTACTTCGCTGTCGCTAACAGCACAGACAGAAGTGAACTTACCTGCACGTTGAGGGAGAAGAACCCCTTCCTGTTCCTGAAGACTTCCCCATTGGGACCGCCAGGTCCCTTTATTTTGACGTGGGTGCAGTCGATGCACCCAGTCACACTGGGGAACTTCCCGATGTTGTAGAAATCCCGCATGACCTCGTCGCAGTCGCCCTCCGGGAAATCCACGAGGCGGGGGAAGAGAGTCTCGGCGAGGACCCGGGAGACGCGCTCGATTACGCGGCACACCGTCGGCTGCGACACGTTAACGAGGTCGCCCGTAACTACTTGAAAAGTCCCGGCGCCATAAAATCTCAGCGCTACGAGGAGCTGGAGCATCGGGGACAGTGGCAGGCCGCGACTGCTCTCGTTTGCTTCCAGCGGCAGGCACTGGAGAAGGCTTACTACTGTCGATTTCGTAAAACGATATCGCACCAGAAACTCCCAGTCGTTGAAATGCTCCAACGGGTTGAGCCGGTCCCGGCAACGCCGTCTCGGCACATCGACGTCCTGGTCGGGGTCTCGGCTGTCGTGAAGGACTTCATCCGTTCTCAACACGAAGTCGACGAAGTCGGCGAACGATGCGTCGGCCGCCATGACACTGAACGCACTCGAGTGGCTCGAGTGGCCGTTCAAGGTAGCTCCGGCGCAGACTCGAGATCTCGAGTAAATTTTGCAGTTTCGAGTGGAGATTTTGGAGTCGAGTGGAGTTTCGAGTGGAGATCTGTTTATGAATCGCAAAACCACCCTCAAGTCGAGTTTCGAGTCGAGTTTCGAGTCGAGTAGCGTTTAAGAATACGGCGGATAAACACTGCCGGCAAGCGCCTGGCCAGAAGTGCTCATTTTCAGCTTGGCTGCCGGAGACATAAACACGGCCGGCAAGTGTTTGGCCAGCAGTGGTGATTTTCAGCTTGGCCGCCGGGGACATAAACACGGCCGGCAAGTGTTTGGCCAGAAGTGCTGATTTTCAGCTTGGCCGCCGGGGACATAAACACGCCCGGCAAGTGTTTGGCCACAAGTGCTGATTTTTAGCTTGGCCGCCGGAGACATAAACACGGTCGGCAAGTGTTTGGCCAGTAGTGCTGATTTTCAGCTTCGCCGCCGGAAACATAAACACGGCCGGCGAGTGTTTGGCCAGCAGTGCTGATTTTCAGCTTGGCCGCCGGAGACATAAACACGGCCGGAGTGTTTGGTCAGCAGTGCTGATTTCCAGCTTGGCCGCCGGAAATATAAACACGGCCGGCGAGTGTTTGGCCAGAAGTGCTGATTCTCAGCTTGGCCGCCGTGGACATAAACATGGCCGACAAGTGTTCGGCCAAAAGTGCTGATTTTCAGTTTCGCTGCAGGGACACCCATAATCAAAACTTGCATTGCGTTGACGAAACTTTGGCATAACGACGGGCAGCGAGAGAAGCATCATGAGCGAGTGGTCGGCAGGACATTAGTGCGTGCATCGCGCGAGCACTGTTAGCGCAAGCAAACGATCACCGTTTTATTCAGTTTTTGTTTTCGTTAGACTTGAAAGGTTATTGTCTTAACTAGCACTGTCGTGTGATATGTTCATTTGGAACATTACTAGAAGTGGGAAAATATTGTGCCCGTCGTTGTTTTATGAAAATAAAATACGAAAGCAGCGCCGACGTCATCTCTCGCTGCCCGGCACTCTTAGCGCGAATACCACATCCGCGATTTTTCGGTTAGTGCTCCAGATATTTACTTCCCAACTGCACTCGCAGAAAAAAAAGTTGTAGTCGGGTGCATCGGGCGCAGATGCTCCCCTTTCCTGGAAGACGCACCCTCCGTTACCCAGCCAGTGTACCTGTATACCGACCATAAGCCCTCTTCTCTACCTTAAAAACCTATAGGTGTATCAATGCACTGAGCTTAGTAAACCGCCACGCTAGCCACGCACCCCGATCAGCTTGTGCTTGAATCGGATAAGAATGGATATTTCAAGCTTTGTGTTTTGGAAGAGCCTAAACAAGACGTCTCTCATATATTGATTAAACTTAAGCTAGTCTCAGTAATGTTTTAATTAGGTGCTAGGATACTGATTTCCTGAGCCAAGGAAAGCTAACAGCTTCGGTTAAAACCGCAACGGAAACGTTCAAAATCGAACCACACGTAAAAGAAAAAGAAAATGAACATCTCGACCGAGATGTGCAGAACGCTGGTTTTGTTGTTAACAACGTGGTTGTTGGCGGGTGGTGGGCCACGCCGTGACGCTATTGACGCTATCGTGGTGATTGACGCCAGTGATGCTCGGCCGTACTACACAGTAAAATTTTTACACCATTAAGGGTGTAAAAGGGGTGTTGTAGCAACTTACACCCTCGGCTACACCCTTTTAACACCCTAAACCTAGGAATACAACCTGATAATTTTACCGAAAAAGGTGCTGTTTCGTGTTACACCCTACATTTAGTAAAGAATGTGGGAAAGGTGTAGAAGAGGGTGCTAAATAAATAATGTGAAATGGTTTTGGAAAGCTTATATATGGCTCTGTACATAATGTACAGGTAAGATTTCTGATTGAAAAGCAACAGTTGTTAGCAGTCTAGTTTCTCATAATGTCAGTTGTAATTCATGCAAATAGCTGATAATAAAGTGCCTCTTTTGCATACAATTGTTATGTTCGCCAACAAAATTTTATATATGAGTTCATATTTAATTTTCTTACAAATCACTCCATGCTCAGAAATCAGAAAGTAGGGTGAAATGCTCTATACTAGCATTTTTTACAAATATTTATTGATGGAAGTGTACAGTAAGAAAATCAGTCAGTCTCGAGTTTATATCTGGACACATGAAATCAAAATATTGTGAAAATGTTTGACAAATATTCATGACATGCTGCTAGAACCTGTCTCATGACCATGTCAGCCCGAGTAAATATTCATTTGAGAATATGGTGACATGCACAAATACTCACACACATAAAGATGCAAATCCCATAATAAACCAGCCCGAGACATCCCTTAAAAAATGGCGTGTGGTCGTCTATGGGAAATTCAATGGGAGGCTATCACCCCCTCTAGCTTTGCATGGTCGGCCTTAAAAATGTATAGATACAGCTACAGCCAGCTATAGAAAAGTTTAGGGTCCTGTGTCTAAAGTCTCAGGGCTGTTTCAATAACAACAACAGCAATAATAATAATAATAATAATCAATAACTAGTGTTTTAACAGTGTCCAGGGACATCCAATTGTTCTTCTTGCGGGCGAAGTGCAATAGAACGAACAAACAGACGCTTGCGCGCTCGCAGTCGCACACATACACGCGCGCACGCACGTACACACGCATGCACACGCGCAAACCCACGCCCGCGCGCAGACGCACACGCACGCACAACCAGAAACGCACACGCGCATGCACGCGGACGCATCCACACGCGCGCGCACAAACACACGCACGCGCATGCACACACACACACACGCAAACAATTACGACGAAGGAAACGTTTCTTGAGTTAGTTTCGGTTTCGGTTTACACAAAAAAGAAACAACCTAAAGTTTAAATAAAACCTAAGATTTACTCACTTTTTGTAATGTTTTACGTTATTATTTTATTGAAATTCTTATTGTTACTAATGTAATAATATTTTGCTTAGTATCGTTCTGAAAAAATAACAATCAATAAAAAGGAAAAGAGACTCTTGAAGACTGCGCAAGACCATCGCTATCGCAATCAGCTTCCGTTGGGCTCGGTTGAATGGTCGTTGAAGTTCCAAAGCTTGGTAGAAGAGCGTGTTGAAAGATGTGGTTGTGTTGTCCCTGTTTTAATTGTTTATTCTTTCTTCATCAACAACAAAAGTTCCAAAGGCTTCGGAAATCTCCTTTTTTTAACGTTTTAGCCGTTTTAGTGGATATTTTAAATATCTTCCTTACGAATACCGTGTTCAAGAATAACAATCGATGACTGATAGCTGGGAGACGCTGCGTCTTGCCAACGCCCGTAAGTTCAGAACAGCCCATGCACGACTCGTGCAAACGCCGGTTAGCAACTTTCTTTTGTTTCTGCGAAGTGGGCTGCTGTTTCAAACTTTGTCGTGTACCGTGTGCTTGCTAAGCTATGCCTGATTCTAACTATGCTTCTGCCCTGTGTTATTTCGTTATTTGAAAAGAGCGTATCTTCTTCAAAACCTGTGACTCGCTCCGCAGTGTGAGAAAGATTCCCGCGCGGCGGAACAGTGGGCATGTTCTTCGCGCCGTCGTGCGGCGCTCGTCCGGTGACGCTTGGGCGGAGCATTCAAGTGCCGTCTGACGGCAGTTCAAGCATTCAGTCGCCGTCCCAAAGTGTCAATCACAGGTCATGCTAGTTCTGACATCTTGTCCTAACAGCCGCTCGCTACCGATTTGTTTCATAAAGCGGGAGTGAGAAAAACGTTAGAAGAGCGAGCAGGCAACATGATTTTTTGCATAAGCTAATGCCTGTGCGTAGAGACGCGCGGTCTCTTCGTCATATTTCCGAGGGTAAAAGCGCTAAAAACAACGGACAAACAACGCCCTATGTTTGTTTCTTTTACTTGTCCGTTGTTTTTAGAGGTTTCACCCTCGGAAATTAGGTATCTTCGCGTTTACCGAACCGGCACACTTTTTAAGTTTACGATTGTGTGATGCAAAAAAAAAAAGGAGTTTAGATGTCACGTTTTTTAGTAGTGGCGAAAGCCCTTACAAAAATACGAGCAGCTAGAAGAGCAAAACCATGAAAAAAGGCGGAAAAAGTTAACTAATGTCAAACCTGAATATTTGATGGAGTTCCAAGACTACCACCGTACCAACTCGCCCGGTTATTCTTTCTGTCAAAGAATAATAACCAACAGTAATAAACAAATAAATACCAACTATTAATTGGTTACAAAGACGTAATTGGTGCAGTGCAGCCCTACGCTACTCTACTCTTTTGATAATAGGGAGTTTTAGTAGATCGTTTTCAAAGGCTCGCTACCGCTACGGGCGCGCGCTTCGGAGCATGCATTGAAGTGGCAGCGCGAGCTCCCGCTACGAACAGCGTGGCCCGAAGACACGATCTACTAAAACTCTCCGATATCAGGTAATGTGTAAATGTATAGGGCAGTTGATAGCAACCATTTATGCCCGACCCATTATATTGAGTTTTTTCTTTTTATAAAAGTTATATGAAAAAAAGTGCTCTTCCTAAAATGAGCCGCACCATTGAATGTACAATAGCGTGTAACGTTTATGTATGTTCTCACAGGGTGTCTACCAACCGGGAAAACCGGGAATTGTCAGGGAATTCTAAACCGTCTGGAAAATTCAGGAAATTGTCAGGGAAACTGCCAGAGATTTGTCTGTCAGGGGAAATGACTGATGAAAGCGGCAGAGTGGCTCGTGATTGAGTGCGATAGTACGTTGGAATTGCGTACGGCGTCTGTGGTCGGTTGCGTTACTTTAGAGCGTAGAGAAAATCGGTAGCCACGGCAACGACATCAGTGCGCCGCCCTCGCAACGTTCGCCGTAATAGTTGGCCA